GTGTGAGTGTGTGTGTGTGTGTGTGTGTGTGTGAGTGTGTGAGGGTGTGTGTGATTGATTGACAGCGAGAAACGCAGGAGCTCCTACCAGTTATACGGCAGCTTCCCGTCTCGCTCGAAAGAGGCGAAATTCACGAAGGTTTCAGCGCCGCACTCCCTGAAATCAGACAAATGATGAAGACAGTTAACAGCTCAAAAATCACTTAAATGTAGCACTAATTTCATCAATCCGCACTAATCCAGTGCACTTTCAGATTCTGAAACACTGCAATCCATGTGCATTACACTGCAAAAATGATGTTCTTCCTCAGTCTCGTTTTACAGTATTAAATAAAGTAATAAATAAATATCACAGATATTACTCCTGCCGGTAACGGAAACTCAAAATAAGAAGGCTGTCATCATTTTTGACACATCAAAGTAACGTGAGTTAAGTAATCAGATTACGTTTTTTAAAGTAACTAGTAAAGTAACGAATTACTTTTAAATTTAAAACAAAATATCTGAGATACTCTTTCAAATAAGTAATGCAAGTTACTGCAGGTTTATTAATTTAATTTTAGCTGTTAAAGGGTCCTTACAGTTGCCAAAAATATAACATATGGGTTTTTTGTTATTAAAAAAAGAAATAAACAAGCCCAGCTCAGGTGACAAAAAGTAACGTAATGCATTACTTTCGATACAAAAGTAACTATGTAACGCAATTAGTTACTTAGTTACACAATATTGTAATGGATTACTTTTAAAAGTAACTTTCCCCATCACTGCTCACCCTTACGTCGAATGCTTTTCTTCTGCGAAACACAAACTAAGACATTCTGAAGTGTGTTTCCTCTGTTTTTGCAAACACAGTGAAAGTCGATGGGGTCCAAATCAACAAAAACATAACCGGGACATTTTACAGCATCTCAATGAGTAAATGATGACAGCGTAAACTACTTCTTAAATCAAGACACATTTACTTGAGAAGCAAGATATTAGTCTTGTTTTAATAAAAATGCATCAAAATGAAGTGAGTTTTTGCTTAAAACGGGAACAAATATCTGAAAGAGTCAAAAAAATCATCTTGTTTTCCCTTTTAATTAAGTTGATTCTTCTGAGCCCATTATCTGTTTTTGTTTTTAGCTTTTGATGCATTTTCCATAAAACAATATTCCAAGTCACTTTGCATCTCAAGTACTGGAAAATGACAAAAATACTGACTTTTTGCAACAAAAAAATTCAAAAGCTCTGACTGAGTTGTATAGAGTCACATGATGAGCGGCTGATTTTCTGTTAAAGCATGAATGTGAATGAGCTGAGTGATGTTGCTCACCGGCTCAGCTCCATGTGTTTCTTGCGCAGCACCAGCAGAAAGAGCACCAGCAAACTGATGAGCAGAACACTGAGAACCGCCAGCGCAGAGATCGCCGCAACACTCGGGTTCATCTCGCGCACTGCACACACACACACACACTACAGCTACATTCACTGAAACACTGAACTCTTCAATTCACCAGTCTGAGAGAAACAGAGCTCAGAACTACGAAAGCTCATTTCCGCCGCTGAATGAAAAAACGAGGCATTTGCAGAGTTCACATCTCGCAATCCTGACTTCTGTTCTCAGAACTGAGATGTAAACTCGCAAATGCGTGTGTTGTGAAGTCAGAATCGCAAATTACAATTCTGAGAGAAAAAGTCACAATTAAGAGTTTATATCTTTCAATTCCGACTTTATTTCTAATCAGTGCAACTTTATTTTCTTGCATTAATGAGTTTATATCTAGCGATTCTGGCTTTTCCTCTGAGTTTCAATCTTAAAATTCTGACTTTTTCTCGCAATAAAGTTTATATCTTGCAATTTTGACTTTATTTCTCATAATTGCGACTTTATTTCTCACCATTTTTACTTTATTTCTCATAATTGCGACTTTATATCTCACAATTCTGACTTTATTTCTCACAATTGCGACTATTTCTCAGAATTCTGAGTTATCTTGAAATTCTGACTTCCTCGCAATTACAACTTTATTTTCTCGCAATTATGAGTTTATTTCTCATGATTGTGACTTTATTTCTCATAATTGCAACTTTATGTCTCACAATTCTGACTTTATTTCTTATAATTCTGACTTTATTTTTCAGAATTGCAAGTTTAAATCTTGAAATTCTGACTTTCTCGCAATTACAAGTTTATATCTCGCAATTCTGACTTTATTTCTCACAATTTTGACTTTATTTCTCACAATTCTGACTTTATTTCTCATAACTGTGACGTTATTTCTCATAATTGCGACTTTATTTCTCAGAATTTTTACTTTATTTCTCAATAACTATGATGTTATTTCTTACAATTCTGATTTTATTTCTCATAATTGCAACTTTATTTCTCACAATTCTGACTTTATTTCTCATAATTGCAACTTTATTTTTTGTTTAGTGCCATGTGCTTTCTCCTGTCGATTGTCTGACCCCGCCTATCTTGTTACCTCATTATTGTTTCAGTTATTCCATCTGTGTCTCCCTCGTTACCTGCCCTACTTAGTCTCCTTGTGTTTGCAGTCCTGTGCTGTTTCGTTATTTGTCGTATGTGGTCTAATGTGTCTGTGTGCTCCTTGTTTTAGCCTGCTATACCTGTTCCTGTGTGGCCTTGCCGAGCTGTGCCCTGTTCTGGCCTTCCTGCCGGTTTTTCCCCCTTGGGGTAGCTTTTGTTAGTTTTGTTTATTTGTATTATTAATAAAGAGCCCGATTACTGCATCTTTGAGTCCTCGCCTCATCTCTCCACATGGACTGTGACAGAACGAAACAACCATTAGAGGATTCAGCAGAAGATGGGCATATTTTTGTTTCCGGCTCCCATTGAGCAGGAGACCGTCTTCAAGGACCTACCCTTGGCCAGAGGACTGCTACTATGCAACCAGAACTATCGCCCTTTTGAGGTAGGGCATATTTTTGTTTCCGGCTCCCATTGAGCAGGAGACCGTCTTTAAGGACCTACCCTTGGCCAGAGGACTGCTACTATGCAACCAGAACTATCGCCCTTTTGAGGTGTATGCTCAAGCCCTCCTTGATGAGACCGAGGGGCTAGGCTTTAGTGAGTGCACCCTTATACACGCCTTTCTCGCTGGACTGGATGACCCTGTTGATTTTGAGGAGCTGGGGGATTCAGAAGCCTGGACTTATTGGGAGGTGGTCGACTACTGTTGCCAGCTAATGGAGAGGCAACTGCTGCAGGAGGAGTGGGTTCCTCTCCCTGTTCTTCCCACCTCCCAGCCTGTGCCCATTCCCGCCGGTTTGCCTCGTTCTCAGAGGAGAAGGAGGAGGAGGAGAGCTCCTACTCAATTGCCACGGCTGGTGATCCCAAGTCCGGTGATCCTGGAGGACCCAACTCTGGTGGTCCCGAGTCCGGTGGTCCTGGAGGACCCGAGTCCGGTGGTCTTTAGTCCGGTGATCCTAGAGGACCCGACTCTGGTGGTCCTGAGTCCGGTGGTCCTGGAGGACCCGACTCTTGTGGTCCCGAGTCCGGTGGTCCTGGAGGACCCGACTCTGGTGGTCTCAGGTCACCACAGAGCCGCCCAATTTCACTGCTGCTGCCATAGTCAAGAAGGCTGTCTTTGCCTTTGGCCTCTGGACTGCTCTGCGTGCATGGGAGCATTCAGAGTCCACTCCAGAACCTGCTCCAATCTGGGAGCATTCAGAGTCCACTCCAGAATCTGCTCCAGTCCTGGAGCCCTCAGAGTCCACTCCAGAGTCTGCTCCAATCCGGAAACCCTCAGAGTCCACTCCCGAGTTTGCTCCAGTCCGGGAGCCCTTAGAGTCCACTCCAGCATCCACTCCAGAGCCCGCTCCAGTCCAGGAGCCCTCAGAGTCCACTCATGAACCCGCTTTAGTTTGGGAGCCCGCTCCAGTCCAGGAACCTTCAGAGTCCACTCCAGAGCCTGCTCCAGTTCGCACCGAGGTGGCGACTTCTGCTGCAGAACCTCCTGAGGTGGCAGCATCCACTTCAGCTCCTCTCTGGGCGGTGGCGCCCACCCACTCCTGAACTCTCAGTCTGTCTTGCCCCAGCCAAGGAGACTGTTGCTGAACTGTCTGCCGGTCCTGTTACGGCCATCAAGGCTGTTAATAACCTCTCTGTGCTCTTCATTGCAGTCCTGCCTGAGCCACCAGGGGAGTCATCTGCCTTGTTAACCTTGGTTAACTCCGAGGTGGTCATCGGATCCGCCCTTACTGCCTGCCAAGCTCCCGGCTCTGCCCTGGTCACCCGCCGGGGTTCCTGTTTGGCCGGAGCGTCGCTGGTCTGTCCCTCCGGCTCTGCCCTGGTGGGCTTACGCTCCGCCCTGGCCTCCTGCTCTGCCGGCTCCACCCTGGTCACTTGCTCTGCCACAGTCTCCAGGCCCTCTCCCACTCCACGGGCCTGGCCCACCATCCCTCCCCCTGTTCCGCCTCCTCTCCACCTCCCTCCTGGACTCTTGTTTTGTGCCTCGGACTGTGGAGAGTCTGGAATCCGCTCCTTAGAGAGGGGGTTCTGTCACAGTCTTCAGCTGGTGTGCCCAGGATGGCCACCAGAGGACACTGTGTGTTTGTGCAAGCACATGGCTTGTGTTGTGTTTGTTTGGTGCTATGTGTTTTCTCCTGTCGATTGTCTGACCCCGCCCATCTTGTTACCTCATTATTGTATCAGTTATTCCACCTGTGTCTCCCTCGTTACCTGCCCTACTTAGTCTCCTTGTGTTTGCAGTCCTGTGCTGTTGCGTTATTTGTTGTATGTGGTCTAATGTGTCTGTGTGCTCCTTGTTTTAACGGAAGCTCAGTGTGTGAAAGCTCTCCTCACCGGATGTGCTGACGGTGATGAACGCCGGCTCACTGGCGCTGCTGTAGCTGCTGCTGATCACGCTGCAGTTGTATGAAGAGGACGGCTGCAGTCCTGACACGGTCACGACACAAGCGGCGGTGAGCAGCGGCTCGCGCACCTTCTGAACCACACACACACACACACACACATGACGAGCCTCGATCCCACAATGCACTGCTGCCATTCTGATGAAGGCTGAGGCTTTAAAGCGACAGGATCCGGAAATACATCACAACACATCAGTAACACTTCACAATTGTTACAATTAGTTACTAGCAATTACAATGACTTCTAAAGCATTCATTAATCTTAGTTAATGTTAATTTCAACATTAACTGATGCATTATCTGTTAGTAATTTATGGACCTGAGAAACATAAACTAACAATGAACAGCTGTGATTTTACTAACTAACCTTAACAAAGACAGCACTACTGTAACAAATATATTGGTCATTGTTAGTTAATGCATTAACTAATGTTAACTAATAGTACCTTACTGTAAAGTTTTACTGAATGGCAACACTTTAAAATAAGGTTTTACATTAGTTAACACGAACTAACAATGGAAAATTATTCTTTAAGCATTTATTAATTTTATTTAATAATTTCAACATTTACTAATACGTTATTAAAATCAAACATTATTTTATTATTTTATAATATTAATATTATGTAACTGAGCTAACGTGAGCTAATTAACAATAAACAGCTGCATTTTTAATAGTGCTGTCAAATTGATTAATCGCGAAAGTTTGTTTACATAATATATGTGTGTATTGTGTATATTTATGTATAATATAAATCATAAATAAATATGAATATGAATATATTTCTTAAATATATTTAATGCTAGTTAATAATACAGTAGTTCATTATGTTAGTTCTCAGTGCATTGACTAATGTTTAATGTTCCTGTAGAAGCATTGCTCATCCTCAGTTCAGTGTAGTTAACTAATGTTAACAAATGAAACCTGGCTGTAAATTGTTACTGAGTTATAGTGCACAAATTCCTCCTGCTTTTATCATCACACACAGAACCATAAAGGACCTCCATCACAATCTGCATCTCCAGATGTTTGCACACACGTGTGGTTATGATATTGATCAGAAGCTCTTACTTTGCTCTCTCTGTTGACTCGCAGCGGTCTGCAGACGATCTGATAGAAGTCCACGACGCCGTCCTCCGTCCAGAGCAGCGTGACGGCCGCGTCGGTGGCGTTGACCACGTACAGCGACTTCGGAGGAGCCGGTTCTGTTCGCAAAACAGCCAAACGCCACACTACTTACAAGAAAACGGCTTAAAAACAACTAAAATAAAAAGGGAGCAGCCACGACAGTCCTGACAGCGTCTGAACAGGAAGTTATTATGAGAACAGAAAACACACGCTCAGATATATACACATACATTATGTAAACACAAACGTTTATTTTGGATGCGATTAATCGCGATTAATCGATTTGACCGCACTATTTTTTTTTTTTACAAAGATTAATAAATACTGTAACAAATGTGTTGCTCGCTGTTAATGTTAGTTTACGTTGCATTAACTAGTAGGACCTTACTGTAAAGTGTTAATGAATTACGAATCGTGAATAAATAAATTATTTGTTATATTTAATTAATGCATTATCTAACATGAACTAACAATGAACAACTGATTATTATTTTTTATTATTATTATTTTATTATTTTTTATTATATTATTTTTTATTATGTTTATTATTATTGTTGTTATTTTATTATTATTATTATTATATTAAATTTTATAATTGTTTATTATTATTATTATTATATTACATCACAATCTGCATCTCCAGATGTTTGCACACACATGTGTGGTTATGATATTGATCAGTAGCTCTTACTTTGCTCTCTCTGTTGACTCGCAGCGGTCTGCAGACGATCTGATAGAAGTCCACGACGCCGTCCTCCGTCCAGAGCAGCGTGACGGCCGCGTCGGTGGCGTTGACCACGTACAGCGACTTCGGAGGAGCCGGTTCTGTTCGCAAAACAGCCAAACGCCACACTACTTACAAGAAAACGGCTTAAAAACAACTAAAATAAAAAGGGAGCAGCCACGACAGTCCTGACAGCGTCTGAACAGGAAGTTATTATGAGAACAGAAAACACACGCTCAGCAGTAAACTAGCAGCGCTTTTAGTTTTAGTTTTGGACTTGATTGTGCGAACAGCTCCGACTTCACATTCACTAAAGGAAGAGATCAGGATGAGTTTGTTTCTGCATCAGGTTTGGAGAAATGTAGCATAATCCACAAGTAATCCACACCACTCCAGTCCATCAGTTAACATCTGGAGAAGACAAAAGCTGAGACAAATCCAACATTAAGATGTTTTTGACTAAAATACATAGTCTATAATTCATAATAACGTTTCCTCCAGTGAAAAAGTGCATCTGTTGTCTCTCACATATGTGTTTAGAGCTGTTTAAACGCTGCTTGATCTGTGCAGATTTCTCTCTGATTCAGACCAGAACACTTTTTCACTGGAGGAAGCCTTATTATGGATTATAGACTCTATGTATTTTAGTTAAAAGCGTCTTAATGCTGGATTTGTTTCAGCTTTTGTCTTCTCCAGATGTTCACTGAGTGCTGTGGATTATTGTGATGTTTTTATCAGCTCTCGTTCTGACGGCACCCATTCACCTGCCACTGACCGAGTTTGATGATGTGCGGCGCAGATGTGTTGTGGCTCGTCTCGGTGCAGGCGGACACGGTCAGGTTGTAGATGTCTCCGGGAGGAAGAGCCAGAGACGCCTTCATCATGTTGCGAGTCACCTGAAACACAGTCGTCAGGCGCAGCGATGAGTCGGAGCCATAGCAACCGTCTCCATGGCGACACTGCACATTCACACAGGCTTCAGTGGAGAGGTCTGTGTAATACATCTCAGCTGGGCTCCGTGTGTGTGGAAACATTCAGCCGTCGCTAATTAACCGTGAGATAAATGTGTGTGCGCTGGGTAATTAGATTCATTACAGGCTAACGGCGCAATCTCATGAGTCTCAGAGAGTCTTACCCTCATATTACCGCGGTAAATCATTAGCTACTTTAAACATTATAACTATAATCTTATTAATAATAAATAAAATTAGATAAAAAAATAAAAAGATGGGCATCATTTAATGTAATAAAACCTTGAATGTGATCTGATTGTGATTCTTCATGTATACAATATACATAATAATTTTTTATATAAATTACATATGTTTAAAATAACACTATAATAAGTGAATATCTAATCTGCTCATGTATATATACAGTATATATACATACGTAGTTTTTAAAATTATTATATTTATTTAATTTATTTTATTAATGTATGGGTGGTTTGAGAAAAATAAATATCACATGAAAAAAAGGAATGAAAATGTCTATGGAAAACAGGGTTATCATCATTAGATAAAGCTAAAACCATAAATATATGACTTGAAATAAACATTAACTAACTTGTTTTATTTCAGCAAGTCGCCGAGGCCACTACTCATCATTGTAATTTTTGTTTAAAGTTGAAGTACTAAAATAACAAGAACTAAAAACTAAAATTATTCAGACAAAACAGAAAAAAACATTTAAAAAAATATATATATATAAAAAATGTTTTTTTACTAAAATTACTAAAACTAAAATGAAACGGAAAATATACTAAAATAACAAAAAATAATTAAAAAAAGCATTAAAAAAACTAATAAATATGAAAAAACACAACAAATTTACTAAAAACTAATAAAAATTATTCAGACATTAAAAAAACTAACACATGTGAAAAAACACAAATTTACTAAAACTACTAAAATTAAAATGAAACAAAAAATATACGAAAACAACAAAAAAAAGAATAAAAATTATTCAGACATAAAAAACTAATAAATATGAAAAACAACAAATGTACTAAAACTACTAAAATTAAAATTAAACAAAAAATATATGAAAACAATAAAAAAATAATAAAAATTATTCAGACATAAAAAACTAATAAATATACTAAAATAACAAAAACTAAAATCTACAACTTAGTAAAAAATTATTCAGACATAAAAAAACTCCAAAAACTAATAAATATGAAAAAACACAAATTTACTAAAACTACTAAAACTAAAATGAAACAAAAAATATATTAAAATAACAAAAAATAAAAAAAATTATTCAGACATAAAAAACGAACATATTACCGCGGTAAATCATTAGCTACTTTAAACATTATAACTATAATCTTATTAATAATAAATAAAATTAGATAAAAAAATAAAAAGATGGGCATCATTTAATGTAATAAAACCTTGAATGTGATCTGATTGTGATTCTTCATGTATACAATATACATAATAATTTTTTATATAAATTACATATGTTTAAAATAACACTATAATAAGTGAATATCTAATCTGCTCATGTATATATACAGTATATATACATACGTAGTTTTTAAAATTATTATATTTATTTAATTTATTTTATTAATGTATGGGTGGTTTGAGAAAAATAAATATCACATGAAAAAAAGGAATGAAAATGTCTATGGAAAACAGGGTTATCATCATTAGATAAAGCTAAAACCATAAATATATGACTTGAAATAAACATTAACTAACTTGTTTTATTTCAGCAAGTCGCCGAGGCCACTACTCATCATTGTAATTTTTGTTTAAAGTTGAAGTACTAAAATAACAAGAACTAAAAACTAAAATTATTCAGACAAAACAGAAAAAAACATTTAAAAAAATATATATATATAAAAAATGTTTTTTTACTAAAATTACTAAAACTAAAATGAAACGGAAAATATACTAAAATAACAAAAAATAATTAAAAAAAGCATTAAAAAAACTAATAAATATGAAAAAACACAACAAATTTACTAAAAACTAATAAAAATTATTCAGACATTAAAAAAACTAACACATGTGAAAAAACACAAATTTACTAAAACTACTAAAATTAAAATGAAACAAAAAATATACGAAAACAACAAAAAAAAGAATAAAAATTATTCAGACATAAAAAACTAATAAATATGAAAAACAACAAATGTACTAAAACTACTAAAATTAAAATTAAACAAAAAATATATGAAAACAATAAAAAAATAATAAAAATTATTCAGACATAAAAAACTAATAAATATGAAAAACAACAAATGTACTAAAACTACTAAAATTAAAATTAAACAAAAAATATATGAAAACAATAAAAAAATAATAAAAATTATTCAGACATAAAAAACTAATAAATATACTAAAATAACAAAAACTAAAATCTACAAAAATTATAAAAATTATTCAGACATAAAAAAACTCCAAAAACTAATAAATATGAAAAAACACAAATGTACTAAAACTACTAAAACTAAAATGAAACAAAAAATATATTAAAATAACAAAAAATAATAAAAATTATTCAGACATAAAAAACGAATAAATATGAAAACATAACAAAAACGAAAACTTAATTAAAAATTAGTCAGACATTAAAATACTCCAAAAACTAATAAATATGACAAAAAAACACAACAAATTTACTAAAATTGAAAATGAAACAAAATATAAAAACCATAATAGTAAATCAATGACACTAAATAACACTGATGGAAACCAATGGAATGTAAGGAGAATGGGAAGACATTTAAACAATGTTCTTATGTGGTGTACTTGCTTTACACGTGTTGATAATGCCCAGCTGTTTGTGGCGGTGATGCTCATGTAGCAGGGTTTGTTGCTGAGACTCACGTGGATGGAGTAGCGTCTCCTCGCGCTCTTCTTCGCCTCGGCCGTCAGCTGCCAGTGCAGCAAGCGTGAGTGCGAGAGATCGGTGAACAGATCGCCGTAAGTCCAGCGCACGAACAACGTCCCGTGAGAGTACTCCACCGTCGAGATGTGAGGCGCTTCGGGAGCTGGCGAGCACACACAGGTTAGTTAGTTAGTTAGTTAGTGACACGGGTCGGGTCAGAGGTCATGTGACCGGCGCACCTGTGACGAAGCTGACGGTGGAAGCGTCGCAGCAGACCAGCGCCGGCTCGGACCACGTCTCCATCGTCACGCGGAACTGATAGAACCAGGCCGGCAGGTTAGTTAGTTAGTTAGTTAGTGACACGGGTCGGGTCAGAGGTCATGTGACCGGCGCACCTGTGACGAAGCTGACGGTGGAAGCGTCACAGCAGACCAGCGCCGGCTCGGACCATGTCTCCATCGTCACGCGGAACTGATAGAACCAGGCCGGCAGCAGATCCGTCACTCTCTGAGGACCACATCTCAGTAAACATGATTGTAATAGTATTTCTCATCACACTCAGCATCTCTACTGATCAGCTGAGCTGCTTCATTCAGTCAAACCAGGGTTCTGACGTTCAAAAACCTGCAGCAGTCTCATTTTAGTTTGATTGAGATACTATTATATATTTAATTAATTATTTATTTAAATATGCATATGTATTTAATATTTTGAGTTTTTTTGTTTTATTTTCTTTTGTAATTTTTAGTACATTTTATTCATTCTTTTGAATGTCTATATAGTTTCTATTTTAGTTTTATTGAGATACTTATATTGAGAATTATATATATATATATATATTTAATTAAGTAATTATATATATATATATATATATATGTGTGTGTGTGTATTATTATTATTATTATTATTTAAATTTTTTTTTACT